TATATATATATGTATATCTATATACTATATTAAATCATGTGAAATATACAGTACACATAACTTTATACTGTACATATTTCATTGGGCTGCTGTAAAAAATGTTGAAGCATCCTAAAGAGGTTGGAGCCCAGAGTGTGGGACAAGGGGCTGTCACAGCTTGGAGTTTCTATGGCCCTTTGGGGGGCACTGGTGCTCTGAGGCTTCAAGGTTTTAGGGTTTAGGGNNTTTAGGGTTTTAGGGGCTTTGGGGTTTAGGGGTTTAGGGTTTAGGGTTTTGGTTTAGGGTTTAGGGTTTAGGGTTTAGGGTTTTAGGGTGTTGGGGTGTTGGGGTTTTGGGGTAGTGCAAACAACTGCCTAATGAACTCGACTGCGCTTTCTAGGGTCACTGTACTAGGAGCCCCATTGCAAGTGTGGAGTTCAGGGCAGGGTCGTGCGCCCGTCGACACCCTAAACCCTGAAAGCCAACAAGATGTACTTTCTGTGACTCGTGTGGACTCCTTCTGGGGCGCGCCCCAGAGCAATGCATGCTTCGGTCGCTGGGCCAAGTTATGGTTGTGTCATTCTCGCTTTTGTCAGCATTATTGACATTGAGGGTCCATTGAGGGTGCCCTAATTGGGGGAGGGGTTCGGCTGAAACAGGACTAGTCTATGGTTGCCGTTCCTACTGAACGCTGTCCGCATTTTGCATTGTTTGCAACGCTGCTGCAGCTGTTACTGCTTGCTGCTGCCGTCGCCATTGGTGGTGTTGGTGGTGGAGGTGGCGTTGGCGGCGATTTTCTGCTTCATTAACTACGCGAGACACTGTCTCATATATATATATATATATATTTATTTATTTATTTATTTATATTTATTTATTTATATTTAGGGTTATAGGGCTTAGGGTTTAGCACGAGGTGTGTTCCCGTGCTGCCGGGGTACGACTATGGCTTCTTGGAGACATCGGCAGCCCCGGAGAAGACAGTGTGCTGCGAACCTGACAAAGTTCTCCCAATCATAACGTACAAGCAGCATGGACCCTTGCTTCCGTCTTGCACAAACCAAGTCATCTAGACAACGAAGGCTTCGTTATCTAGTTGCAGTAGATGGAGAGATAGAAGAATGCCAATATAGCTGTGTTCCTATGCTATATCTTCATATCCTATGCTGCGACTGGTGGGTGAAGGAGAATTGAAAGGGGGGCGTGCCCTCTTGGCGCAAAAAAAACATATTAGTCGGAAGAGCTAGTATTTGCCAGCCCACGACGCCTGGAGTGTGGATTTGAAAAAATCTCTCGAGGCTGTACGGACCGGCTGGTGGGCTGTAGACAGCTTCAGAGTGCCCGGTTAACAACACTGGTTACTGATGACATGAACGCAACCTGGAAGAACGAATCACCGAATCTTACAACGAGTCCGAGGTCCTAGTCACGTATGCAGCAGTGGCTCTTGTAGCAGAGCTAACACTTGAAACACATAATTGGAGTTCCAGAGCATCAAGAACCTATAGGATACTTTGCAAGACTATACTATACTATACTATACTATACTATACTATACTATGCTACACTACTTTCTTCTACTACTATACTATGCTATACGATACTAGACTACGAAGTCTGCCGCCCGGAACCGGAGAAGATTCCTGTAGCTGGGGGTGCATTGGCTCTCCAATGTGCGCTGAGAGCAGAGGATCGGAGCGAGAAGATTCCCTCGGTTTACTGTAGGGACCTTTATAATTAGAATAGGGCTTGGGGGTATACTGTACTATAATTATAATTAGGAACCCCCAAAATAGTATAGGTAATTCCTCATGCCCCTATATTAGGGTGTTTGGGGATCCCGTCCCAACACACAAAGACGATAGAGTGGTCTGACTGCACAGAGCATGAGGTAGCTTTCAAGACGGCGTGCACGCATTAAGCCAAGGGACAGTAGTATGCTCAAGGCCTTGTTGTAGAATAGACTTGGCACTCCATCCAACAAACCAAAAAGGATAGGAACTTCCTCTGTGGCTATTCTTGGGCGGCATTGCTCGAACGAGCGTTGAGGATTTATGGTTCGGGATTAGGAAAGAGTTTCAGAAAGTGAGACGGTCAGTACGGTTCTCGTCATGACAGCGGACGGTTGAAGCCGAAGAAACCCGAACCTGGAGTTTCCTATTTGTGGGTGGTTTAGGGTCTAGGGTGGGGGGAGGCCCTAACCATCAGAGTCCGTGCATGACTATGATATCGTGTAGTATATACTTACGTAGGCCTTAGAGGAGTTTCTTTATAGCTACTTCAGGACCGTTAATGTGCATAGGACTCTACACAATGGGATCCGAAGAAGAAGAAGAAGAACCCCCTTCAGAAAACAAGGGACCCTACTTTGTATTTCTGAAACCCTACAAACCCTAAACCCTATATCCTAAATGTTCAACCCTAAACCCTAATGCGGCCTGCTTCCAGTAAACCTGCTTCAACTGCCATCTTGCCGTTTGCATCATTCCGCGATGGCTGCAGGGGGGCCTAGGGTTTAGGGATACTGAATTGCTAATTCGAGGCTTTGTGAAGTCTTTTTTCTATTGACAGGGTTACCCTATCCCGGGCTGCCTGTTATACAGATCCTAATTTGGGTGCATGATGATGACTGCTCGGGTGTGCCATCGGCATGGGATCAGAGTTTCTGGTTTTGCGCTTCTCAAGTCGAGACACATTCTTTCGATTCATGAACTCTTGGTGCCGCGTTCTCGAGTAAAGAAGCCGTTTTCCGATAAGCGGCACAGCAACACGGCTCTCTCAGCAACAAAGCCCTTTAAATCTGCTTCGAACAACTTACAAGGCTACAAGCAAACACTTATGAAACTAAACTGGGTGTCTACTATGATACGGCTCCTTACGACGATGGTGATGGTGACGCACGACGATGACGACGACGACGACGACGATGACAACTGCTGCGGCTACTCCTACTCCTGCTCCTACTGCTGCTGTTAATGCTACTGCTACTGCTACTGCTACTGCTACTGCTACTGCTACTGCTGCTGCTGCTGCTGCTGCTGTAGCTGCTACTGCTACTGCTACTGCTACTGCTACTGCTACAGCTACAGCTACAGCTACTGC